GGATCCCACAGATGTTGGTATTATCAACAATTATCCTTACATAGTGACCTGCAGGTTATATGGTGAAGTGAACAAACACTGCTGATCAGTGTTTTTAGAATGTTACCTTTTGTGGAAGAATGGGAGGTATAAATATGTGTGTGTGTTGCTTATATTTTTCAAAAAGAAACAGCAGTATGACAAAACTAGTAAGAATGTTACCTTTATATAAGAGGAAGGGAATAGAGAGGGCACAGGAATAGAAACGAGTTTCTTCTAAACCCTGTTCCATTATTTTTGAAAACATATAAATTCTTTGCATACTTAATAAAACGGTTAAATAAAAAAAGAAAAACAACAAAGAAGCTGTAATAATTGGAAATAAAGTGAAACAAATGAACCTCATTCTGTGTCAAGTTGATGCATAATCACACAGAAAAAAGAATTACTTCAAATGACTTTAAAACAGTTTATTGACAGCACATTCCTAGTAGGATATATTGTAAAGAATTTTTTTTTAAATCTCAAATAATTTAAGACTGTAATCAATAGTCTTATTGTTAGCAATAATGTCAATATCATTTTTTTTTGAAACTATTACAAGCATATTGTACAAGGCAAAAAAAAAAAAATTACATTCTTCACATTCAGCAGTTCTCCAGTTTAGCTCTGGTCTACCAGACTGATTTAAGTCCCTCAGGATCCTTTATCGCAGGGGCAGGACACAGCCGGTCTTCCTCATCCTTGCACCCCAGTGCCTGGCTCATAGTAGTCCCTCCGTGAGCATCTGTTGGGTTGAAATGAAGTTCAAGTCACTAGGATTCAACTCAAATCCCCCAGCTCACTCTATCCAATGTCCAATAGGCCTCTGAGACCTGTCACTTTATTCCTGATGGTCTCCTCCGGTCTTTGTCACAGCCCCACCCAGGACTCTGCTTTCTTGGCCCATGAAGCATCAGAGAGTCAGCTGCTGCTCTGGGGACCAGAGCTCTCCTTTGAGCACACCACCCCCCTCCCCACCACAACTTCAAAACCATGCTTCTACTGCATTTTGTCATGTCAATAGTCATTTGCCTTTTACAAAGGGATTTCCACATCTATTATTTCATTTAATCCTCCCTTAACACTATTTTAAAGCAGTTTCACAAAGAAAGAAACTGAGATTCGATGAAGTTAAGTCATTTGTCAAGGCCCCACTGCTGGTGAATGATGTAGCTTGGTCAAAAGTTCTTTGGACAGATATGGGTTCAAATCCACTACTAGCCATGTTGACGTGAGAAAATCATTCATTCATTCATTCATTCATCCATTCATTTACTGATTCAAAAACTATTTGTTGACTAGGAAACTGTTTGGTGCTAGGAACACAGAGGTGAATGGAGAATACAGACACTGTTCTCTAGGGATAACTGAGGCTGCACTTACTTCCCCATCTGTCAAAATGGGAATAATATGTCTCTTGCTCAAATGAAGGATTACTCAGAAATTGAAATAAAGTAACACATATATAATTAGCATATATATTTAGTGTATATGTAGGTAAAGGAAGATAGGCTAGGCAGATCTTCAGGACACACATAACACTTCCGAGAGCCCAACGGGCAGCTTATCAAGGGGCCTTAGTGCAACACCGCCTTTTCCTCCAACATGTAAATCCAGAAGTGTTTACTAAGCACTGGCCAGGGGCTTTCCCTGTGCTAAGCAGTGTATTTTTTCCCAAAGTGTAAGACACGGCCAGGAACGTGCACCAGCTTCCCACGGGTTCCAGGAAAATGTTTGACACTCAGGAGAGTGCTCTCAGAGGGCGATGCGCGTTAGGATGTGGACCTGAGTGATTTTAAATTTATGGTCTTTCAAGATAGATAGATCTGAATATAAGTCCCCGCCCCACCATTTGCTAGGTAGTGACCCTGGACATGCTCCTTACCCAAGGTGCTGCAAGTAAAAAAATAGGTATAATAATAGTACCTCATAGGATTGCTGGAAAAAAATTTAATGAGGTCATGGATACAAAATGCTTAAAACAGAACTTGAGACTTAGTAAGAACGCAGTTCCTAGCGGCAATAGTAGATTTCTTCTATAGCACAAGTCTTGGGGGTTCTCGCTTGCCTGAAAGATACATATGTCTTCTAGAACATCCAATGCCGTCAGGGATGTATTGGATGGAAATAGAGGAAGGACCCACCACACCAGTTCCTACCCCTGCAGCCCCAGTGCAAATCTCCCTCTGCAGGGCTCAGCTCCAAGGAGTCCAGCTGGGTGCATCTGGCTGGGGAGATTAAATTATTTTTGAATTCCTAACTGAATGTTCTTTTAATGGAAACTTAATGACAAGCATTGAAATAGATTTCCTCCGTAACCCCTCCTCCCGTGGCGCCCACCCCGCCACCCCCACAAGGCTCTGTGTTGCGCAGTTCCCGATAACCTTTATTCCCTACCCCTGGACTTTTATCTCCCCAGTGACAAACAGCTCTTGCTGGACAGAAAGAGGAAATTCCAGTCATTGTTCTCAAACTTCTGGCTTCCAAAATAAAATGCTCTATCTCCCCTGTCAAGCTTTGATTGACACACACTTCCTGTAATGGCAGACAACAACGGCCCAGGGGCGGGACCAGGGGATCATTTGCATTCTTTGCCTTAGAGGTTTTCAGAACGTTGGTTCTAAATGGGGGAAGATTCCCCATGCTATTCGGAGAATCACCCTGTTGAGGACCCATCTCCAGTTTTATGAAAAATCTCCAAGGAAGACACCCCTTCAACTGTCTACACAATCCACAAAGGAAGTTCTTTGCTAGCCCGTTACACACCCATTAGCCATGGAAACAGACACTCTAATTATCTCACTTCTTAGATTTGGCAACTGAGAGAGGATCTTTTCCTTACCCTTTCTCTCTTGAGGAATCAGTTGTTAGACAGTTTCCCAAATCTTAACTCTAAATATTGGAGCTTCGGCCAACCTTAGTCCAGGAAGATAAACCAGGATCAGACTCTCCAAGTCAAAATCCCCTTAGCAACAGAGATAAATTAGGTAATTTGAGGGGAATTAGTAGCAAGGAAAACTTTGAATACGGTAATGCCTCATGAGATGCAGCTTTTCTTGAAAGGAATAAGAAATGCTGAATTCCTTTTTAAGTGGATCAATCAGTAAATGTAATAATGTGGCACACCTGTAGCAATAGCAGTGCCAATGCGGTCAGGTGCCACTGGGGACAATGGTACCGCATTGGAATATAAAAGGTCTGCCTTTAGCACTAACATGAAACTATAGGCAAGTTGGCCTTCTAGAACCTTGTTTTCCATTTATTTTCTTAACTTGCTGAGCTCCTATGCTCTTGGTAACCCCCTCTCTCCAAATGTCCAGGGTTCTTATGCTACTTTGGGACTATCTCCAGCTACCCCTTAGGACTATCAACAGGTACCTGTAGGGCCTCACTTCCCAAAGACTTTTTTGGCTGTCTTTTAATGGCTGCTAGAGGGTCACAGGAATTTACATTAAAAAGGAGATTCCATGTGGCAGAATGCATTAATCCTAATAAAAGAACACTTGGAAGCAGGCAAGTTTTTCTACCAAATAACACAAAAACAAATGCCAATCACAAAGATTCCAGTTGTTGATCAGCATTCTTAACAATCCAGAGGAACAGATTGTTTCATTTCCAGTAGTCCCCAAGTATTCTACCAATGAGAAGAACAGACCAGAAAGAGCGTGTTCTGATGCTAAGGACCCAAATTCATACATTTTCCTGCTAGTTTATAAAGGAACTACAGGGTCATAAAGCCTCGTGACCGAGGACTGTCAGAGAATTCCAGCTCCCTCAACTTTGAGATACCTGATTTTCTTTTAGCTTTCTCAGTAGATTAAATTGCAATGCCAACACATTTATAGGCACAGAATAAATCTCCCATGTGAGCCAGTCGTGTCCACTGTTATGGCCACTAAGCGTGCAACCCTGATCCTATCAGTCTTCGCATTAGTTTTGGTCAGAAGCACCAGGCTGTGTGGATGGGTCTGTACAAACTCAACCCCAGTCCTACCGACAACTGCTGGCAGCTGCCACTCTATGTGTCAAGACTCACGCTGGAGCGATTCGATGGAGCTGCACAGGAAGAGGCATGTCTGCAGCCAAGGTTATTTCCTCCTGAGGAAGCTGGAGTCAAGGCAACATGTGTGTCCTACTTGCCATCTTCCCACCCCTCCCATTTCTCCCAGGAGAAAGTTCACCCTCAGCAAGAGGATTTTCACCAGTTAATCTATCACAACAGATGCACAATAACTGACACTTTAGGAGAGTACATGCACAGTTTCAGAGGTTTAATATATTAATCAATGCACTGAAAACATTTTGATTCCTAAGCAGCCTTGGAGTACCATCCTTTGCAGAATACATTCAAAATAACGTAGGTGGGGAACTGAGCAAGATATTCAAGATAAGAACCTTCCCCTAAAGATCATCCTATGTTAAGCTGGTAACTTTTAGGAAGGTGCTGACCCTCAGGGAAAGGAAGACCAAACACTTTTCTCAGTGTGGGGCAACATTCTATTCCTTTCTCTTTCACACCTTAGAAACATCATTTCAATACAAACCCCAGGCAGAAAAACACAAGATACTGTTTTTTTCTCAGCAGCATTAGAGGTACCTTCCTTTCTAAACTGACTTTGTCCTCAGTGCCTTCTTGGAAAATCAGGAGATACTCTTTTAACAGACTCATAGCCCCTTATCCCATCTAATAACAAATTGGAAGAAATAGTACTACTATTTTCAAATCAAGTATTCTTTCTTGCAGGAAAGTGTTCATCGAAATGCTGAGGTGGTGATTTAGATTCTGTCTAAACATACCACATGAAATCATTTGGAAGGCAGTGTGTGGATACACCAAAAAGCAGGTTGAGCTCATCACTCCTCTCCACACTGGGTATGGAGTGACAGAGTCCAGGGACTGAGACTTCCCTTGCTGCTCCAGAAACACAGTGTGACACAGACCGAGATGGAAGCTCCAACCACCAGGGCTTGAAAAGGTCAGAGCCTCACAGGTGTTCTCTGTGTAATGGCCTTTTCTTATTGTCTTTGATTGGTTCATCTTCCCCAACTCAGGCGACAATTTTCCTTTGATAAAAGCCAATGTTAAAATAAAAGTGGCTGCTTTCTTATCAGTAAAATCAAAATAGGAATTCGATTTTTCCTTGATTAGATGTAAAGCTTATAATTTCTTCAAGGAGACTTTTAAAAAGATCTTATTTGGCATGTCCATGAGACTTTTGATGATTTTGCCTGTTCCTATCAATGTTACATGATTTCAAATAATCATATTCAAATTCCAAGTGAGCTCCCATGACTTCCATATTCCGATTTCCGATGAATACATTGCATGTTCTAATGCACTTGCCATGTGTCTCAGAAGATAATGGTTATTGAGTTCAGGGGCTTTGTGCTGGTGGGCCTGGAAAGCTTTAGTCCTACCTTCATACTCCCAAATTGTTGACTGCTTCATATGCTTCTAGTCACTAGGTATCTTCAAAACTTTGCTTTACTCGTGTTGAAAAGCCACTGTTACATTTTAGTGTCATCTGTTTCGTTGACTTCTGACAAGACAAAGTTGGGGTTGTCATAGCCTCTCTTCATCTGGGCTCTAGCTTCTCTCTCATTATAAAGGCACATGGCACAGTGAGGGGTATCCACTGCCACTGTCTTACTAAAGTTATTGAAATCCACTCTGTATTTCCCTTCCTTGGTCTTGGATACCATGGGAGCAAAACGGTAACCCCAAAGCACCTCTTCTGGGACATAGGATGTCCGAACTTGGCAGGTAGCACTGGTTGATTCCACTGTGCCATCTAAAAACACCACTAGTTCAAAGTCCTGTTCGGGAAGTGTTTCTGCTGTCATGTGGAAGAAGGGGCTGTTGTGATCAATAATATGGTAAATTGTCAGTGGGGAGATAAAGAATAAATTTTCATTCCCAGCATCAACTACAAAGTTGATATTGATCTGGTCCAAAATAATTGTCTCTCCTTCAGGAGTGACTGTGGTCTTCAGAAGCTTTCCATATATGTGACTGCCAATCAGAAGGCTCTTCCTAAGATTAGCCACTCGGATTAAGAGACAAAGCTTCCCACCTCGTTTACTGATCACTGCATTCTTGCTGAATGTAATGGTCTTGGCACGTTTTTTGGGTCTGGAGATCTTGGCTAAAATGGCACCACACATGAAAGAATTGATCATAACTCCAAGTATAGACTGAAAGATGAGCAGAAAAATGGCAGTGCCACATTGTTCTGTCACACACCTAAATCCATATCCAATGGTCACTTGCGTTTCCAGAGAAAACAGAAAAGCTGAGGTCAAGCCATTAACGTTCTCCACACAGGGGGTGTGGTTGACAGAAGGATGGAACTCAGGGAGATCTTTATGAATGTAGGCTACAGCATACCACAGAAGACCAAAGAGGAACCAACTCCCCAAGAAGGCTGTGATGAAGACGGTCATCTTGTATCTCCATTTGAGGTCAAGCACGGTCGTCCAAATGTCCACAAAGAATATCATCCTCGACTGTGCACCCACATTGCCAAACTCTATGTTGCACCTTCCGTCTTTGGAAACCAGCCTCGTTCTTTGTCGAGAATGCTCCCAAAAGCGGGTGACAAACCATTTCCGAAGGTGTTTGAACATTCTTTCTGTCAACACCGTGATCTGAAAACACATCAAAGAAAAACAAAGCAAAACAAAATTATGTTTGTAACAGCAGTGACCTAGGTGACTCACGTAAAGAGCTAACTATGTTTGAAAAGACCATTCCAAACAATCTGGGTTAGTGATCATTTGGGCAAGCTGACAAGTTTATTCTGGATGCCATAATATTATTTTCAATAGAAACTTTCCACTAGAAGATTGTATTTCTGAAATATAAAGAGGAAAAATAATTACAAAGAGATAGAAAGGGAAGGAATCTAAGAGAGCGTACATTCGTTTCCTGACCTTAGTGAGTCGTACACAACTTAAAAAATGTTTGTGATAACCGTTATGATATCTACTATGATTTATTTGATATTATTCTTTAAATGAGCTCTCCTTTTTTCTTTAATAAATGTAGCTTTATGCTAAGCAAAAAAATATCTGTGAAAGCGGAAGCTTGATGCACTATTTACATTTTCTGTAATATATATAAATAAATATAATAAACAGCTCATCGATATACTACCTAAATCACCTTGTGTACTGTTATTGGTACTTACATATCAAGAGAAATCCTGATCTAATTCACTTCTCTCATTTATTGAACAAAGGAACTGAGACTCAAAAAATTTTAATGACATATCCAAAGTCATAGACCTAACCAGTGGCACGATGACAAAATAGAGGATAAAGTTCCCTGCTTTCAGTCCAGAGGAACCTCAACTACACTGTGTCTCAGTTATAAAATTTTATATTCTGAAGTTAAATTTCCCTGCAATCTTTTAAGACAATTATTAATCAACTTCCTTTAAAAAAAAAGAATTGACACTATTTAGAACAGAGTTCCTCAATACTGTTTGTTCGAGTCCTACCATATGATCTCAGAAGTTTTCTCGGTGGATCTACAAGCCTTTTCCTCTTCTCTCTCCATGGAATGCCAAGATTCCCTCCTCCCCACCACCCCACCAAAAAAAAAAAAAAAGTAGTATGATGGCACCATCAATATCTCACCCTTCCTTCTCTACTCCCAACCTGAAGGACTGGCGAGCTCTAATTTAAATAATACTTTATAAGGGTGGAACCATGTTTTATCTAATCCTCTATCCCAGCTGCTGGCACAATCTATGGGCACTTAGTATTTATTTAAAAAATATAAATGGAATAACTCAGTGAATGAACTAAGGTCTTCAAAATATTATATGATCAATGGTTTCTTATTAACGGCATTATTTTGACTTGCATTTGAAAGCAAAAAGGTGAGGGGATTTTCCCCTAAACATGAAACCCAGGGGTCATAAACATGAGACTACCTCCTCCCCTAGGTGTGCCCACCCCCACTCCAAGGTGTGTTCCCCACAGTTAGCAATGTCTTCGTGGTATTTTTAATTAAATGCAAATATGTTTCTAAAATAGATTTCAAAATCCCCCTTCAAAAAATTTGTTTATTCATACAAACTAGGAAGCGAAACCAACTTAGTGACAAATATTGAACAAAACTGATATTCCACAGTGTCTTGCCCTTGGTCTTAAAACAGGTGAAAACACAAGACGCCAACACTAAGTGGAAGTGGTGAAGAGGAAATCACAGCTGTGGTGATTTGAAATTTTGAGGACAAGTTCCAAAGATATATAAAAAAGAAATGCTACCAGGAAAGAAAACGGCAGTGTTTTCAGAGGGTCCTGCCCTCATCCCACCAAACTTCATTGACCTCAAGTCCCCAAAGAGTATCAGGAGATGGTTTGAAGTGAGGCTCATGGGAGGAGAAATAGTCTTCTTCTTTCCCAATATCTCCCCATCCTCTGCACACACATCCTTTAATTGTGCTCACGTTCACTGGGACTTTCTCCTTTCTCAGGTTCATGGAAGCTCATACTGTTGAAAAAGCTCCTCACAGAGTAGCCCTCACCTAAAATAATAAATTCTAAAGCCAACACTTATCAATCGAATGCACATTCTTTGTCATACATGGTAATTCCAGAGATGGCTCCTAACACACCAACTTCTGAGTTTTTCTTTCCCACTCTTCATCTCTTCCAGTCTCTCTTAAATTCATTTCACTTTTTTAAAATTTAATTTTATTATTAGTTTTAAGTATACAGTACATTGGTTAGACCTTTATAAAGTTTATAAAATGATCCCTCTAATCTCTCTTTCTCTCCTCTGGCTCTCCATCTAGCCAGTATATTAATGCCAACTGAATTCCCTATGCCATACTCCCCATCCCCATGACCATCTATCAACTACTAACTTGTACTTCTTTATCCCTTCACCCCATTTTCCCAGCCCCCCAAGCCCCCTCCCTTCTTGCTGTCATCAAATTGTCCTCTATATTTGTGAATCTGTTTTTGAAATTCATTTCACTTTTGAAGATAAAGAATATTTCTATAGAGTGAATGAGTACCCTTGACTTATCTCTTGCATAAGTTTGGGTTTCCATGCCTCCATTACTAATAAAATATTGTCTGTTGGCCTTACAAAGAGCTAAAACAAAACAACCAGCTTACAATGTGTTCCTCTGATGATCTGCACTTACCAAAATTCTAAAAACATATTCTGACCTGAAACATCAAAGGCTGGGAAAAGCAAAGAACTGGCATTGGGAGTTGGTCTCTGTCTGCAGCTGATTTCTTTTCGACCCAGCTTAGTATATTTGAGTCTTTGGTCAGTGAACTGATGCTAATTTATATTATCTTGAAAACACTTCATTGGATAGTGGAGTTGTGCGGTTTAAACCAAGGCCATTGGTTGTTCTCAGACCAAGCCCCAACCTGGGTATGTATTTTATCTTTTCAAACCTCACATGGCTTGAATACCGTCATGCTAAGACAGGACACACCACCAGCTGAGTCAGTCCCTGGGAAGCAGGCACGAACTGTGTTCCGGCATTTCTCTTCTCTCCTTGACACGCTCTATGGCTCTCTTGCTGTTTTTCCTAAGTCGTGCCTAATAACTTTTCACCAGAAACAATTAGTTTATCATCAATCTCCTACCTACTTTCTGAAACACACTGAGATACTGAGATTTCCAAGTGTTCACAAAGATACGGGTGAATATATAGACATAGATAAGTACGTATTTGTAAGACAAAAGTATGATCACACCAGGAAGAAACAAGATACCATGTTAATCTCTCTATACAACAGTCTCTATTATGTAAGAAACTGAGGTTTAAAAGCTGCCTTTATTGTTGGATTTATTTTATAAAATCTGGCATTTACGGAAGGTACTTTTCACATGTACTGGATTAGCCAATGCTGTTGATTGATTTACTCAAAACGTGAAAAGAATTAGACCTAAAGAATGCAAGATTACAGGATAAATTCATACTCTGACCAAACCCATCATTCACACAGCAGACTCATTAATCTCAGCACATATCCTATTTTGTCAAGACAATGGCGTTTAATCCAACCACAGACAGAGCCAATATGTATTTTTTGAACTACTAGGTGATTTGAGGTTGGCCTTTGTGTCTGGGTTATGTAACATGCAGTTTTTAGGTTATTTTCTATTGAAATCGGTAAATCTTAATAGCAAGCAAAGGGCTGTATATTAGCTAATATTTACCAAAGTAGTCCTTCTTCAATGATGGTAGAGAAGAAATTCAAATTTCCATGAAAATGTTTTCATGAAACTGCTTTGTTTCAGAAGAGTCAATTGAATCAACAAACATTTCTTGAGGACCTACCATAGTGAGGTGGAATGGGATTATGGGACATGGTCTTTGCCTTCTTAATCAATATGATCTAGCAAATACTCTACTGAACATCTACTATGTACCAGATGCTAGGCTAGGAAACCAAAGAGCAGTCCCTGCTTTCAAGTTGCTTCCAGGTAAGTAATTCAGTAATTACAGTGCAGCAGGTTTGCTGCTTTGGAAGGGTTGAGAACAGTTTTAAAGTGGCCACCAAAGAGGATCCCCAACAGGCTGTGTGTTAAGCTTATACTCTTCAACACACCTTTGTTAAGGAGCTAAAACAAGTGCACCTAACTCAGAGGACTTCCTGTTTTCTGTGAA